ATGATTTCATTTTAACCTGAAATTCTTGTACAAGAATAACAATAAGTGTGTTGACAAGACACTTACATGGGTTTGTGTGACACCATGTATGTGTATATAAACATGAAGAATGGAAGATTTTTACTGCATGATCCAAGGTATCACATGGAATTTGTAGGGCACATATTATTTTGAATTACTTCTGTTGCTTGAAATAACCTTACAAAAGTTGCTGTGAATCCCCTTAGCATCATGTTTCTACTCTTCAGGTTTTTGTTTTGTCCATGGATTTTTCTGTCAAAGTATAATGTCCGCTGCCCTTTTTTCAGGTAAATTTCTTGTGCGACTACAGCAGGGGTAGCCATCTGCCTATGCTTGTCGAAAATGCTTTCTTCAGCGGGAACAGCATTACATGTGATGCAGACTAGCCGGCGGGAACAAATTTGATGATCCTACAGGGACTTGGAGAAGCATGGAGTGGCTGCGATACAAAATGCTTCTTCAATGTTTTATTACAATATGGCACCCCCCCGACTATAATAAAGCCAAGGGTGACGTAAGCAGAGCGTTGTTTATTGCGTCTTCATCTCGTGGGCGGCTTTTCAATTACTCGTATTTGGCCTCTCCCACTTGGAAATCTTGAACGGCATAGAAAGCGGCACCTTCAAACACATCGTGGCAGGCCCTGCGGGGAAACATGACAAGGGGACGTGTCAAGAAGAAATTGTTCCTTGTTTTGCAAACTTCCCAGTGGAAAGGGGAGGGGGAGCTAGGTTAGAGAGACAAAAAAGGAAGAAAAAAGAAGGAAAAAAGGGGGGGGGAGAAAAAAACAGAAGCAAGCCCCAGGGGAAGAAATGGATAGTTTACAAAAGGAAACTAAGATGTTTTTGTTGTGGAGAATTGAGCATTTTGTCATTGACAGTGGATGGCTGTTACCAGCTTTCTTTTTGTGTGTGTTTTACATTTTCCCCCTTACCCATATGCGATATTCTTCTTTGTGTCAGGTCAATTGAATTGTGAGGGAAAATTCCCTCATTGTTACAAATGAAACTGATGAATTGAAACCTGATAATGACAAGTCCCAGTGTTTCTCTCTTTGTTTTGCTGTGTGCAACATTCTCATTTTTCATTTCAAAATTGCATTTTGCTGTCTGTCCAAGATCCTAATAATTTGCATGCACAGTAAATCATTACAGCGTGAATCATAGGTTCATAGGAGGGATGTGCGAATCTATCCCTAGTGTGTACAGCGACTTGAAACTAAATTATGCATGAATTCATAGCCTTGTTCATAAACCAGTTCACTAACAGCCAATTAAGAGTTTGCTTGGGCGAGCAAATACATGTGTACTACATTTATTTGTATATGTACATGTACAATGTATGTGCAAAGAAGTATCCCAGGTGGCTCTGAATTTTCTCAACCCAGACCCTGAGGATATTTGAAAATTTCCTGAAGGATTGAGGATCGAAAAAGTTAAGTCAAGAAAATAGCACAGGTTTTTTCTCCCCATTTCCTGTTTCCCTTGCTGCCTCCATTAAGGGGGGGGGGTTACATCTACATCTACATGTATGTGGCTTTTTGTCCGTAGCACTTAAATGTTTAGCTGTAAATGGAGGTTTAAAGCTTTGATAAACAAAGCTACAATTCCCCAGTGGGTTTTACATCCTGGATCTGCAATATGATCATAATGGGACTTCTTGGAGGGAGCCTCAACCTTGATTGGGCTTGTCTTTTTTTTTTAATGCACATGTATTTGGACAAATGCTTTTGCCATTTGTTGTCAGCAGTTGTTTACTGGTAGAATCAGATCAGGTATGTCAAAGGTTTAATTAGTCTTGTAGATCTGTCCCAGATATAGCTTTCAAATATGTTTGGTAGGCTCCAGTTTAACTACATCAGGAGACAATAATGCAGTATCTGATACATTGCTCAATGCATGGGTAATTGAGTCTGAATAATTTATTGCAACAATCATATTTTTTGATTAGTGTTTCAATTCTTGGTTGCTAAGTAAAAAAAGATGAGTTAAATAGGGTTGTATGATGTACACTTCTGGTTATTTTGTGATACAAGTTGTCATAGAGCTATTAATTTCTGGCATGGCTCCTACGGGTAGTTGTGCGTTGCAAGAAATGACAAGACAACTTACAATTGTTCATGGCATAAATGTCTGCATTGACATTACATGTTGACAGTACCTAGGACATTGGCACCTTTGTTTTGATTTGTATGAACGAAAACAACACTTGCTGAGGGGAAGTCCCTCATGATGGCTATTGAGTAAACCATGTTTTTTGCCACAAGATAAATTATATAAGATAAATTATAAAGACTCCTTAATTGTATATTACTGATTAATTACATCAGATTTGTCTTGGGATATGACTTGCGCTGAAGTCCTAACTTCTCCTTGAAAAAAATTGAAACTGGAGCCAAGCTTTTATAGATTCTCCCATAGGTTAGCAGATTCAAATTCATTGCCGCAAAGGTAGCGAAAAGGCTCACAAATTGTTTTTAAGCGGCTTATTGTGTGGGCTGTTTTTTAGAACACTGCTAATGTCAAGATGGTTGAAGAGGGTTTTCTTTCTCAAGTTTTAACCTGCATGCTGATTTGTGCGTGGAATACATTTTTGGAGTGTTCGTATAATGACCATGGGGAGACTCTGCTCAACGTGTTGGTAGTTTACTGGCCTGTGCTACGTTTTGCGTGTTTATCTTTTCTGTTTGTTCAAATGCATTTATCTGCAAGTTTCATGAACATAGACCTACCAGCAAACTGATACCTTTCAAGAGTCAACATAGTTACTTTTCAATTTACTGCTACTAGTGCGTCACTAGTCTTGTGCTTTATTTTTCTATTTTACATGTGTCTGATCGTGGATCCAACCTCGGGAATTTCTGAAAAGAGAGAAATAATTCTTTCGTCTCTTTATTTAGCATGTTTAAATCAAATTTCTTTTTTTTTTTTAGAAACAAGCCACATTTGACCAAAAAAGTCCAAATGGAAAAGGTATCTCGTGTTGAGTTGCATTTGAGCAAAATAGGAGGGACTTGAATTCCATGAATGTGCTAGAAATATGTACATGTAACGGGAGTGGGTGCTCTTCAGAACTGAAGGGCGAATTACCCGGTCAGAAGGCTGCCATTTTGTCACCTCTAAGAGGACGGTCTGAAGACCTCTATGGCCCCGGAAATACAATTAGATCTCCGGCCATCAAAAATCTGTTGAAACCCTAACTGGCGTTTCCTCGGTTGGCGAGCCTTGGTAGCTCCCGTGCAGGAAATTGCCGTCATTCCAGGCACGTCCACAGTAGTTGGGAAGAGAGGAAGAAAATAAGCTTGGAAGCGTTACAAGTCACCTACATGTACCTCTAGTTTTTGGTCAAGTGGCATTTTCTTGCTAGCTTTATTTTGGGGGGGGGTTGTCTTCATGTTCTTACCTTTGGTCAGACATCGCTGTGAGGGGTTTCAAGGAGGTCGCAGAGAGATTGGCTTGCATCTTGGTGAAGGGGGGGTTGTTAAGGTGAGCTTCAGTTACACATAATGAAGGTGGGTTTGGTCCTTAGGTGTCGATCAAGCCATCCAGGCCCAGGGTAGTTTTTAAGTGGAGTGCAGTGCCAGAGATAGGGCAAAATTGGTCTTGCTTGAAACTTGACATGGAAGTATATAAAACCAGAAATTGGGAAGCGCCACTTATTTGAAAGTGCACAAAGGACATTTCTCACATGTCAGCTTTGGGGATGCGTGATTTTTTTTTTTTAGGGATTTCTGAATTTGGTGATTCAGAATCAACAAAAATTGGAACATCTATAATGTGTGATATGAAGCCTGAGACAGGAGTTATTTTGCTCAAAATGTGTAAAGGCCCGCTAATATGACCCAACCTAACTGTAAGAGTCACAAGTTTCCAGAGCCACTGAGTGTTGGCTCTAGAAAGACTGTAGTGCACATCAATAGGAATCATCTAAAGTAAAACGAAACGGAATAATTCAAATAGCCTTCAAACTCATTTTGTCAGATCTGGTCGTAAATAGTTCAGGGGGGCAAAGTCTGCCTCAGTGGTAAATCCGTACTTAAGAAAAAGGGCTCCAAAGGAAGTAGAGGATCCCTATATGAATTCTGTAGCAAATCTTCAAAGTGATTGGGGTCGTTGCACGATTAAGGCTTAGTACATCCTGGCTTCTGAGCTGTCGCTGTAGGAGCTGTGTAATCAGCTTCTAAAATGCTTAGATCACCTACCCATTCCCTCAGGATTAGCTGCCCCTGAAGATTTCAGGATTGTCTTCTGTTGAATGAGCCCATGCCCTTGGTGAAATGTGGTGGTATCCTTCCGTCCTCATTCAATCCACTGACAACTCCCAGCCTCTGGAGTCACCCTTTTTTTTTCTAGCCTTGTCAGGGGATTGCTGGTAACTCCAAGGATACAGTATTTTTACCTATCTTGCAAATGATCCACAGTTCACTTTTGTTTGTCAGTCTTTCTTTTTCTTTATTCATGTAGTCTCCAACCTTGGGTAGATTGTAGGGAGTGAAATCTCACAAAGACTACTGTTTTAAACTCTACCAGTTTAAAAATGCAGTATAATTGCAATACTTCAAAATGAAAAGGTGTTTAGTATTTGTCACCAACTTAAGCAAAAATTGGTTGATACTTTATGTGACCAAAGAAGATCTCACTCTGAATGATTTACTGTGAAAATTGATTAACCCTAATCCCCTTCAGGTTTTTCTAGGCACCCTGCAGAATACAGCAGAATACAGCGGCTACGTGTAGGACAAACTAGACTTGTTTTTACCGCTCACATCAATAAAATCCCACAGAAGGAGCCCACTGTTGGATATCGCTGTGTTCCACATGGTTAATATCAATTTTAAGGTGGTTGCTGGAAAAATAAGTGCTGTGTACTGCTTGTGTGACTACTTCTCAGTTTATGTCTCTGATTTTCAGTTTGCTTTTTCTTCAAAAGTGCACCCTAACTTGACTGTACTCTTTTTTTTCTTGTTCCTTTTTTGCCAGGTATGCAACTCAGTGGTGGACATGGCGGTCATGCAGGAGGCCCACGGCCTGATCATGGACATGCTGGCCGACTCCAGTCTGCCGCCCAACGTGGTCAGCGGGCTCAAGACGGTCAGCTCCCTGCTCAGCCCACCCACCAGCTACAACACGCTGCAGCGGCCCAAGATCAGCCCACTGGTGGCGTTGAGTGAGAGCAACTACGGCGCGGCTGACATTGACGATTCTCCCTATGTGGGTGAAAGGCCTTTGTCGTTACCCAAGGTATGCACCTTGTCCAAGACATTTTTAACTCTTTGATCCTGCGAAATATTTGGAATTAAATAGGAGACAGGTTAGTCTTTCCAAATATTACAAAATGCCCATGATTTTGAACCTTCAAAACAGGAAAGAGCGGAATCAGACTTTAACGCTCATTTTGTCGTGACGGGTCACATATTTAATGTACCAAAAACGTTGTGGGTACTCAGAAATGTCCCCACAACTTTGTTCAAATTTCCCTCACAAAAAGAACTTGTCCCCTGAATGTGGTCAGTGCCTACTCAGCTACATGAAGTCACACACACACCCCCACATATCTAAGTGCTTTACTGTATTCAACATTTACGTACACAACTTTGGACACTGTGCACCATTTTGCCTCACTAATTGTGTTACCTGTAAGGTTGATCTTGCAAATTCCCTTCCATTGGATGTGTGCAGTCAATTTATTTCAAGATTTGCGCACGGGAAAGGTGTCGGTGTACTGACCGCCAATTATGGATGTAATTGCACGGTTTCGGAAGTTTGGGGACCCGAGTTTGGACATTTGAGGAGGGATAGCGTTCCTGGCATCTCTATGTGCTTCAAAGCCCCTGAGAGATGTGAAGAGAATTTGATGCCGAACGTTCTGTGAATTTATCCTCAATTCCGTGTCTGCGAAAATATGAAGAAAAAAAAGTACATGTGAAAAAGTAGCCAATAGACTTTTGTATATGAAAACTGACAAAGCAAGAGGTTAAATCCATCTCTTGTCAACACCAAGTTCAACACCCACTGAGAATAAGCTCAAACCTGTACTGTTTCATTCTGTACTGTTCATGCAGGAGGAAACTAAAGTTCTAGTAAGTGCCAAACATTTGATATCATTTTTAAAGATGGTTGCAGAGATATAAACAAGATCTCCTCACAGGTACAATGTGTATCCTACTGCTTGGGTCACTCAATGGAATGCCCTTATATGGTTTAAAGAGTACATCTAATGAAAACATGTTTTCTCTGATTTCATCTGTTCAAATAAATATGGATGCATCCAAATCAAATGCAGTGTCATTTTTCTTGAGAACTCAACTATAACAAGCTTAAAAGGGCTGTTTTTTTCGTTCATGTCAAGATACGAATTCTGAATGCAGGTTACTTCATCCTGAGAAAAGAAACTAAACTAGGGGAACCCTCGCCCTGTGTTTGTAGTGGACAAACCCTTGTGCATGCCAAACAATGGCTATAAACGATGGCTACATGCACTGTTTGGCATGCACAGGGGTTATCCACTACAAACACAAGGCGAGGGTTCCCCTCATTTCCTCTGTTTTTCATTCAGAATTTGCATCTTGGTATGAACAGAAAAAAAAAAAAAAACCACTTTTAGCTTGTTATTGTTGAGTTCTGAAGGCAAACCACTCTGTGTTTGATTTGGATGCTTCCATATATATTTATTTAAACAGGTAAAATCAGAGAAAACATGTTTTCCTGAGAGGTGCTCTTTAATAAATATCATAGAGTTCAGTTCAGATAAATAGAGAGATTTTTAGGGGTAGGTGTTTACAGTATGTTTGAAACTGGATACCCATTTTATGTCAATATTGTGTACCCGGGTCCCCTTGAAATATAAAGAACACTGAACCAATGGCATTGCGTACAATCCCGGCAGACCATGTGCCTGAAACAGGGCTCTTTTTTGACATAGGAAAGAGCACATTGTTCTCAATGTTAGAGGGGAATCCCCCAACTTTTTATTAAACAAACTGTTACCTTTAATTTGTAATAAAAGTAGCTCCGTGGATCTCTGTCTCAGAGTTATGATCATGGGACAGGTCTTTTTAGCAGCGCGATGATGTGTCAGCAATTCTACCCTTCACTATGAAAGTTCACATACATTTTGTACTTAAAATTTTTATTACGGGTACCTGGCCTAAAAAAATGGAACCAGGTTTTGATGTCGATGGGCGGGTATCTGGCACAAGCCTGGAGATTTTAACATGTGATATCTGTGCCTCCTCCATTACACTTCAACTTTGCACCTGGAGCTTGTCAGTGAATACGAAAGCGGGCAATTTGAAAGAAAAATGGAAAATTGGTGAAGAACTTGTGTAAAGATGTGTTCCAACAGATTATCTTGGTTGTGCTTTTTTATAATTCAGAGATTAAGACGTAGTTTGCCTCCAAGTCTCATACGACGGATGTCGTCAACATGGACAACAACTACCTCAGCGACAGGTGGGAAAACTTGCCTTGGAAATTGTTCGAACATAGCATTATGTCAAATGAAGGCTTTCACACATACCTTTGTTGAGCAAAGTTGAACATGGTTCATCCCCATTATGCTAGAAACCCAAATTGCCCAAAGCCTGAAAGAGAGGATCGCTTTCCTAAACTTAGAAAAGTTGCATTTTCTGTGACAGAAAGATTTGACTGTTTCTAACATGATTCCAAAGTTTGAACTATCCTGTTTAACTGGAAATAAAGTTGGGGGTTTGTAAGTGTCCATGGTTTTGTCCTCTGTGGCATTTGGGCCTTTGGGAGTTGACAGAAGTTGAAAGAAAAGAATGATGACCAGTGGATCTGCATCGTGTTACTCCTGCATCTTTCTTACTTATACTTACATGTATACACCCTGGTTTTATTTCACTGAAACCTGTGTGCAGACGCCTTTTTCCAGAAGTATACCACTGACGTGAAGCCACATGGCTGTGCGTACTTGTAATAATTTCAGATGGGATGTTGTGATAAACCCATTAGCATTTTGTTGCAAGGCAGCAGAAATTTCACAGGAAGTATGGCCCGTGCATTTCCCAATTCCTGCCGGTTTGGAAACCTTTTTTGCCGGGATGAGAAAAAAGCAGTTTTCGCTGGCCAAGCAAAGACATCTCTGCGAATCTAATATCGCTGCTGCCTCGTGTTGCACGCCTCCCTGTCATAAGATGCCCGTGCTCGCTCGCAGGCATGTCACTGCTGTTCATTGTGTACTGGCGCTCCGGTCCTCACCTCTCCTCGATTACCTCACAGCCCCAGCAAAGTGCACCATCCCTGGGCTCCCTGTTACACAAAACCTCTGTCCCATCTGTGATAATTTTTTTTTTTGGAGGAGGATCCCCATTGGCTTTTTGTTTTTAACTTTCTGGGACATGATCCCTACTCTCTTCCTTCACTTCTGTTCTTCGTTGTTTGATTACTCGTGACCTCTGCTTTTCTGGCAGACTTTGTCTGCAGAACTGCTTTCACGATCACGCGGGGTCGTGATGGAAACAACCACCTTGGAATCACTCGATCCATTAGTAATTAGGTACAAACCTCAGCTGGGACGTTTTGGCTGCAAGGCATGACACAGGAAAGATGAAAGTTCAGCTTAAAGTGTTGCCGTGTGGATGGTGACTCACTGGCAGTATGCAGACCTGAATGTCAAAAAATTCAGTCTTTCATTAGAAGAACAGAGCCAATTGTTGCATCAGATTTTTTTGTGGGGGGGGGCAGAAGTGGATGAGTGCAACAGCGGTGTTTTGCAGATATGTCGTTGGTTTTTAAACTGCCTTTAACACAGTGTCTTTAGTTGTTTAGTTGTTTAGTCAAAAGACCCAGCTCAAAGTTCCAGTGAATGTATCAAACTTGGCCCTTTTCCAGTTAATTGTTAAAAAACCCCAAAATATTCCATTGCAAAAAGACAGTGCGCTGTGGTTTTTTGTCGGTACACCTAGTAGGTGACTGTCCCAAACATTAGGTTAGACAGCCTTAGTCTTGTTCAATTTTTCCCAGACACAGATTTTTGTATTTTTGTTGAGTAATAATTGTCAACCTTTCTGTAATCAATATAGAATGGCAAATAAAAGTAGACCTTCTCTCTGAGTAAGTTTGCATAAAATTATTTGGAAGACTGGAACAATACATTGTACATGAAGTTTCAAACTTTTTTGCAAAATTGAAACCTCACAGTAATTCTGTATGTGTCTTTAGTTATAGATTTAATGCCTTTCTTTTTTGTTATGTGCAGGCCTTCCAACTCTTGAGCCACAACCTCTGCGGACACGTAGTTCCTCATTTCGCCACACCCGAGAAAACAATAATTCAGCCACACCCAGTCCATCAGGAAGTCGCAGCAGTAGCCCCTCCCCAGGCTCCCAACAGACCAGCGCCAGCTCAGCCAAGGGCCGCTCCTACTCGGTCGGAACTGGTGGAATCAGCCCCAGAGGGCGCTCTCCCAGCCCACTGCTGTCACTGGACTCGCAGAGGTCACTGCAGTCCAAGTCATTGGCTCCGCGACAGTCGCTGGGCGGGGGCGGCCCGACAGACGACACCAGTGCAACGAGCACATCCAGCGCTGCTGAGAGCAGCTTTTTCCCGAGTTCGGAGGGAGAGTTCACCAATGAGGACGAGTTGGCAGTTAGCTGTCAGGAAGCTCCCTCGCTGCCCAGCCGGGCCTTGACATATCCCGAAGCCGACCAGCACCTAGCCCGAGATGAAGACGGGCATCGTGTGGAGGACACTGCATCCGGCTTCCAAGAAGCCACTCCTGCAGAACAGTTCACGGACACTGATGCCAAGGGGACCCGAACGAGCCCTCCCCCAGCACCCACTCAGAAAAAGCGGGGCAGTGTGACAATAAGTGAACATGTGACTGTTATCGATGATGGAAACACAAAGTTGGTACCCACAGACGAGTGTGATGTAGAGATCAATGGAACAATCGAAGGGAACCAGATATTGGTAAGTGCCCACCAAAAAAAAAAAATGCAGCCACTTAACTTACAGGTTTAGGTGGGAGAAAGTGTCCAGCAGGTCAAGGGTTAATGAAAGAGAAATTCAGTTGATATTCGACCTCTGTATAGCTGAATTTCTGTTTGTATAAACTTGTACCCAAGAATTTTATTATATATCCACTAAGCCATCTTTTTTTTTGACTGTCCACTCCCTGTAGCCCGAAGTACATATACAGGAAGACTCCAATAGTCTGTCGTCAGAGGAGTTTGATCCGACGTTACCGGAATCTCAAGAGTACCTCCAGCGGTTAGACGAGTGGGACTTTGCCATCTTTGAGCTGGCCCAGGCATCCCACGGCGAGATCCTTAGTCAGGTATCCATGGTGACTGAAGCAGAGTTGGTCTGCCGTCACACAAATCCATGTTATGTTCAGTTAGGGAAGACCCAAAGCACACTCACTAACCTCTCCAGTGCTTTGGTTGTCCTTAGGTTGATTCTGATCTTTCGCTGTGGCCATGGGTGTTATCAGAAAGAGGAGAAAAACTCTGTTCGTGTGACAGGGCACGTTTAAAGGAGGTTACACCATCGGGTTTTTGCCATGATCTTACACCATTGGCTGGTTTAGGTGTATAAACTTTCCTGCAGCTTTCATTCCACCGACTTGTTTCACGTTTGAGTTAACTGCAGTGAGAAAACTCAAGAAAGAAACCACAGTAGCCTTTTCAGTGGTCAAATTGAAGATGTTGTAATTTATCTTGTGCAAAATGCATGAACTAAAGGGCATTCTGAGTGAGCGAACAGCGTACATGCGGGAATGAACAGGCATAACAGGTGCGCTTGCCCTTTGAAAAGAGCAATTTTCCACGGCCAAGAGTAATCAGCAAATTTACCTTGAAGTACATGTTATATGCCTCCTTTACAATAAAACACTGTATTTACGGCAAAAACTTCAGGCAGTGAAGTTATTGCTGTTGACTTGTGTCCATGTGCCTGCACAGTTATGCTTCCTATCCACACTTTTGCATCAGTTTACTTGTAAGTGGAAGTCTAAAATCCATTCTCAGTTGACTAACTCATAGTTGTGGTCACAGAGGAAATTACATCTGGAAATATGGAAGGTTTGACGTTTGAATATTGTAATTTTGTTGACGAAAATCCACTTACTGTGAAGCTCGGAAACAGCTGTCATATTGGTCATGCACAGCTGACAGTTTGGACCAAACCATTATGCTTCAGTGGTGATAGTGAGATAACAATCTTTTGTCATAAAGAAAATCCCTTTTCATAGATAAAATTTAACTTGGAACGGATCCAATTTCTCTTTTAGCAGTGTCAGTATCAAACGGACAAACAAGTAACAGTGAATGGGGCAGTCATTTCTAATGCATTTTCATGCACACTGGTGATTTTTATCTCTTTTCTTGCTTTTTTATTTCTTCCCCTCCACTTTTTTTTTTCTTTTTCCATTTTTTTCCCTCTTACCCCTTTGCTCCCTGATGACCCCCATGACTGTGGCAGACGTCATGGCACTGGTCGGGCCAGTTACTTGTAGCTTGTTTTTTAAGCTGTCAGTGGAAGTGTTCTTCAACTCTTCTCCTAACAAAAATCTGCCAGATCCATAAATGACAAAGAAAAGTTTTTTGGTGATTAAAAAAAATCATCCAGAGCCATGAGTTACAAGAGAACAGTTTGGACAAACCGAACAAGGGCTGAATCTATGTTGAGTTGAATACATTGGGTCTTCTTAAACTGAGGGGTGCACTAGAATGTGAATGGAAAACTTTTCCTGCCTTTATTAATACTGAGGGCGCTCTGGAGCACCATTATTGATGACCTGTGAATGGAAAACTGGTTAAAGTTAACTGATTAGTCGAAAAATTGTATAGCAATGAACGATTTTGCCGACAGCATAGTAACTGCCCCTGTGAATACTTTTAAGATGCAGGGGAGTGTCACATTACCCCTTCCCCTGTGACACCTGTTGTCTAACCCTAGGCGACCCCTCTCCACCCCTTCTCTACCCCGAATCTCAACCCCTCAACTCAAACCACTCAAAAATACAGTCGGCTTGATTTTTTCCCTCGTTATTTTGTTTGGGGCTTTTTGTTGTGAAATTTTGGAAATGCAACACAGCTCACTGAGCACCTTGCCTCTTTGTGTGTAATGCCATAGAGGAAGAATTAGAAAAAATAAACTGTCAGTTGCACGTGTGAGACAAAATAAAGCTGCTTTCTGATTGGCCCCCTCATGGCAAATGAAATCAGCATTGCAGACTGAGGCCATACCGCGTAATGCTTGGTAATGAAATTACGTCACCCCAGTGTCGAAAACACACCATCTGTTCGTGCATACCAAGTTTCATAATGACAACTTCACACTGAAACTGATAGAATAGTGCTTGGGGTGCATTTCATCGTTGAGGACTTTTCTACCCACTGTTTTTTGAGTGCAATTGTTACTCACAAAATAGCAGCAGACTAAACAGAAGCTCTGCTTTCCTGATCTGTGAAAAATATCAATACCTGACATGCCCAAAGCAGTGACAGTACCACCAGAGCACTCAGCCCAAAGGTGAATCTGTGTTAATGTTACACAAGGATGAAGAGATATGCAGGTATTTCAGTAAAACGTGTCGCCGAACTGAGCTTATTTTGCATAGAAATATAACAAACTGGATTCATACATAGATATCCATCAGCGGTCGTGTATCCTGTGTCATGACCCATGGGCAGCATTCAGGAGAGCCCAAACATGACACTCAAGAGGGTTTTCCTGAAATCAAAATCCCCGGATGTGTTTCATTTTTGATGGAAAACTACCATGATATCCTGCCTGTTCAAAAGGAGCCGCCATTGTTTACAAGGTTAAAATGTTGGCAAGACGGTCTCTTGAGGTGACGTTCTCTCAAAGTCAAAATATATACTGCATACAAGAAAACTTGAGGTCTATTGTAGCTGACAGCTCACAAATGCTCATATAAGAGCAAGGATAAATGACCAAAATGTGGCCTAGGTGGTAGGCAAAATGCAGTGGATGGAACTCTCACAAATGAAGTAGTGGTGACTTGTACAGTTTGTGCTTTGGGAACAACTACTCAATTTCAATTTCACTGTTTGTTGCTAACAAAGATAAGAAGGTGAAGTCCTGCAGGTGTTCTGACAGGATCTTTTGAATAAGGAGATTGCACCTCAACAAAGTTAAGAAATTTTCCAGCATGACAGTTTCATGCAGTTATATACTCTGGGACCCATGCATAGACACACACACAGTTGCAATATTTTGGGCCTGTTTCATGCAGAGTCGGATTGCGATCAGTGATCCGACGTTGGTTCACTGACACCAGCACTCACCGGATGGAGTGCCCCGACTAGCCTTGGGACCAGTGATTGAGATCCAGATTGGTGTGAAATAAACAGGCCCGTAGAGCCTTGCTTTGCTCTGATAAACCAGATTTTAAACCATAGTTTTGCCAGCCAGTGGCAAACCCGGGAAAGCAGCCAGTGCTTAAGAGATGAGGACAATCCCACTCAGCATGAGATCTTTTCGTGACACAACAGTCGCTGAAACATTAAAATGGGGTTTTTCAGGTTTGTAAGCAGAGTCGGACCCTGGAAAATTTATATTGGCTACCCAAAAGTTATTTGGGTAACATTTACCTCAAAATGTTGCAGTTTCTGGAAATCCCAGACTTTCCACAAAGCAAAACCTTAAATCTCGATTGTTGTCCTAAACTTCTTACCTAGACCTCCCTCCAAATCCCCAAAATGCGCACACAGTTTTGTTTTCCAGATTTACGATAGATTGAGGAGATGACAAGATTGATCTCTGCCGTTGTGAGGCAGGAAACATGTCATGCGATACCAGCTGTTTTTCTGAAATTCAAGCGATTTCAAATTAGCCTGGCATTAGGAAAAATTCTCATTTTGGATTCACGGACCACGTTGTGAATGCAGACTCTATGCTTAACAGTGTGCATTAGCATATTTGCCTTGAGGAAAAAGTACAAGTGAATATTTCGTTTCAGATGGACAAAGCATTTTTAAGATTAAATTATTGAAACACTAAATGAAACTTCTCTCACCAGTGTTATTCCTTGTCAGAGAAATGGCAGTTCAGATCAAAACGTTACAGTGCACAAACACACAGAATCTGTCTTCAGTTTATTTTCTGGTGGATCGTCTGTGTCGACCGTTTGATTCTCCATTTGTAGTTCCCTGTTAGCATGCCAACTTTCAAGGCGTAGACGGTAGAATGCTTGCACTGGGCTTTGCAATTGGAGAGTCAAGTGAATTCAAACGCATGTTGCTACAGTGAGTGTTATCTTTTTCACAGGAATGGAAACCACAAGCCTCATTCTCCCTCGTGGAAAAAAACGCCTTGAAAAACATTCTCCAGTGCTCATCCACCACAGAAAGGTTTTGTCCAGATCTCTTAAATGCACTGTTAGAGATTGCCAGCCCCACTTCGCATTACTTGCCCTGAAGTAAAATACAGTCTAGCTAATGGAATTAATTCTATGTCATCCCCCCATCACTCAGGTTGCCCACAGAGTCTTCACCGAAGCTGGCATCTTTGAGACATTCCGGATACCGGTCCGAGAATTCATGAACTACTTTCGGGCATTGGAGAACGGCTACCGGCATTTACCATGTAAGTACTCCGGTGAGCTGTGCTAGGTTTAGATGTTAAGAGGCTGATGCACGGATGCTCATGGTTCTCTCTAATGTCGTTCTGGTATTTTATCAAAAGGGACCATACTGTAATTCAGCATATTGTATGATGTAGACCACTCAGACTACTACAGACTACTAAAAAATCCCGCTTTTATTTCTGTTCACACCGCCGTGGAAGCATTTATCGAGTCATTTCAATTATCTTTATCTGTTTAAGCATTCTTTTCTAATATTTTTTATTCCGTTGTTTTAAATGTGTTGAAAATTTACATTTTTGAAAAATATTTTCCTGTTGGATTTATTTTATTTTTTTACATCAGTGTATTAAACTAGAAAGGGGGAAAATATTTAATTTTTAAAACTGAGCTGAGAAAGACAGAAGACAAGCTAGGATTTCTTCTGAAAGGCCGGAATTCCGCAGAGTGGTATCTTGATAGCACGGGTCTGGTTGCGCGGCCCAACACCAAGGTGCAAACTCAATTTTCTGCTTGGCACCTTGTCAGCAGGCCTTCACTTTCCGCTCCCCCAAACCTCCTTTATTGCATCATCATAAGCAGGCACACGCTTACAGGTGCGATAACATATCAATATTCTGACAAATTAATAACTGTGGGCATGCAGTTAGCATCCCTCACTATCACTGTCACACACAGTGTTGGGTAGGTTAAGCTGAAGATGAACCCATCCATCATTCATAGTCCCTCAGTCAGGTCATCTGTTTTGCAGTGTAATATTGCAATCTAGTTCTCTGTGATGGTCGTTGACCACAAGGCGGCGTCATTTTTCATTAGTGATCTGGAAAAATTGGGATGGCGGCATGTTAATTCAGTGACCTATTATTCATGTTCCTTGTGCGTGTGGAGAACTGAAGAGAGTTTGGTTACAGATAGTTTATCTCTTGGACTGCTGCACCAGCTTTCATTTCTTTCCTCACAAAGATTTCATGGAGTAAGAATGTTTTGCATTTTCTGTGACTTGCTTTATGAATTATCTATATTTTTATTGGCTTCAAAAGCCCATGTACAGGTTTAAAAAAAAAAAAGGAAGTTGTCTATTTTGTTTCATGTCACTCCAAATGATGATTTAGAGAATTGAATTGCATAACTCATGCAGTTTTACCATTCTCCAGTCAGTATTAATTCAGATTGCTAATATACGGTTTCTGCGCATGCACATACACAGTGCATGAGATGTTAGATTAATTTTCCTGCTCGGCGTCATCAGGCCCCTCTAATCATCATTTTAATCCCAACTACCCGGCAAAAGAGGCTATTTTTTGTCTTTGATATGTATTTTACAAAAAAGGTGGCTATTGGTTCCGTGCTTGCAGTAAGCAGACCTTAGCTTCAATTTGCCATGATTGGTTAGGCAGTACATATCAGCAGGAGGGTAATTTTCCCTGTGTTCCATTAGTTGATTGCCAGTAAATCATTTGCTCCTTGAATCTGAAATTGCTTTCAGTGCCTATGGCAGACATGTCCCAAGGTTTTTTTTTTAATGTTTGTGTTTATGTGTATGAAAAATACACTTGGAAGTTTTGAAGCTTTTCAGTCTAGGACATATCATGGCATATCATAAACATCTCTTTGATAATTAACAATTTCCTCTGATTTTTCTGTGTCTTTTTTTTTTCCTTCGGCAATCTGCGTGATGCCTGTGTAATCATTTGTGGCAGATTAAAATCTTTTGTTGACAGAATTCCTGCTGTCAGTTCACTGGTGTGGAAATTCTGCCATCTTGGATCAGGCGTTTAAAGCTGCCGTGGCCTGATGTAGCATGTTAGGGGCAGGCACCTAAATTCTGTTGGATGTGCAGTTATTGCTGGTTACAGTGTAATAGGTGCAGTAGAGTGCTCAGGTTACTGTTCAAGAGAAGTCATTTTCCACACAATGGGGAGAGTTGTCAGGCCTTGCAAGTGAAAAGGGAGAAATTGAAGCATGCACAGTTCTCACAAACAGCGAAACCATTGGGCCAAAGGTTGATGCTGAAGCCTCCAGCGACAGCTCTGTGGCTTTTCTTTTTCTCAGGGGGAAATGGGAGAAATAACTTAGCTAAAAGGAAACATAATCCAGCCTTGGTAGTCAACACACTTTTGAGAAATCTTGGCTCTGTAAGTAACAGTCATTCTGTGGTTGAAGTAAGTAAACAACAGGTGGACGGAATACAGAGAGTTCATCATGTGATCATATACCTTGACTGTTGTTAGGAAGGAAATTTGTGTGCAGGCTTAGTGTGAGCATAACAGGAGTAGGTGTTACAATGACAGAAAATGTACACAAACAGCTGCTCTTCTAAACATTGCGCTTATAATGCTTTGGGCTCTTGCCAAGTAAACAAGTCCGTGCAGGGGGGGGGGAGTTCTGTGCAGTCATTAGGAGGTCGTGTTTGCTGTTTTCCTCTCATGTGATGAACACTGTCAAAAAGCACAAACTGTTAGCAGCACAGTTTTGTGCACTGATTTTTTTTTTTTTAGGTTTTTTATTTTAGCGGTAACTGCAATTTTTATTACAAACCTGTAAAATACACCTTTGTGCCTAAGTAACCCTTATTTTCAACTTAGTTAGGTTTCACTATTTCAAAGGGTATTTTAAGGCCATTTTGTGTTTTATGCTAATGAGATTTCCCATATTCATGAGCAAAAATGTGATGTGAAAACCTCAATGTTACATTGGTTTGTTCACAAGAAGTCCTGCGTTTTTGTAAATTTTCCTGGACTAAGTTTTCTCATTTTTGCTGTTTCATTGTTGTTTATGTACAGTACATAGCAATAAGAAACCATCAATTCCTCTCTCAGAAATGCTTTCAGTTAGTAAAATCTGGGTTTACAATTTAAACAGAAATACCTATGGACTGAACCATGTTTTCCCTAGATGACTTCATAGCAACAGCGCCCTCAGTTGTCCAGAAAAACATGGATAATTTTGAATGTTTAAAAGTATGCACTTTTTAATGCATTTAACCAAATGTGAGTATGTAAGAGTTTTCATACATTGAAGAAAAGTACAAAAATGGAAAAGAATTGTGTCGAAGAAAATTTCATTGCAGCCACGTGACACTGTAAGTGCCTTGCTCTTTCTACACATCACCCGTGAGGAGGTTCTTGTTAATGTAGTAGATACGAGTTGAATTCAATTCATCCATTGTGTCAGTGGAGAGCCACTGATTTGGGTTTCCAGGAGTAGACTTCTCCATTCCTTCAATCATATAAGCTACATGTAGTTTGATATCCCAACTTCGGGCATGCTCTCCCAAAGATTCATCTTTTTTACTCTGGGACAATCAAAGCAGACAAATCTGGACAGTTCACAACAGTGCGCCTCCAAGAGTTTGCAACTCGTTGGCCAATCACAACGCACGAAATCTGTCGACCCTTTTCAAACGTGCGTTGGGTCAACAGATTTCACACGTTAGTCTGCAGGGCGGTGTCAACAAATCAATATTCTGTGACACTTGAATGTCATTTAAAGGTGGAAGATATAGTGTGTACACGAAAGGAAGTTAGAGTACTGAGCTCAGTGCTTGTCATAGTCATTGTCATTCCTGTGTTGGAATAGAAAGGTACTTGTATATGTTTGAGGAAACATTCTAGCAAGTGGGCAGACTACAGGCAATAGACATATGGACATACAATTACATGTATGCACAGTTTCCAAATGTAAGATTTTTTACCTTTTAAAAGGTAAAAATGATGGTTTGATGGTTTTTAAGGGCCACTGAATACACCAATGGTTATGTTGTACTTTACTTGAGCAATAAAGGAGAAATGATTAATGGTTGTAAAAATACGGAGGAAGTTGATCATAAAATTGAGAAATGGCCACTGTGAGGGAAACATTGGATGATGTACTGTATAAAGAATTCTTCTGATTAGAAATTAGGAGCTATTTCCCTGTGCTATGGACAAAAAGTAGCTCTTTCATCAGTCTATTTTGTGTCTCTTTTATCTTTTTTTAAAATTCAGTGTTTAAATTCCCCCCTCTCTCTTTCTCTTGTCTTTCTGGTACAGATCATAATCGTATTCATGCCGCTGATGTGCTCCATGCAGTGTACTACATGTCAACTCAGCAGATCCCAGGCTTTAGGCAAGTCAACCCGGAGGATTTGGATCCCCATTCTAGAACAGGCAAAGGTAGGCCACAGGTTTCACACTTCCAGACGTTGCTGTTTTTGGCTCTGGTTATGGAGGGGTATGGGGGAATTTCAGTGGGAAAAGCTGGAGCCGTAGCCGGAGCCACTTTAACCGAGATGGCCAAACCCTCTGATGTGCAGGTGACAAATATTTGTATTTGCAGTTTGGATCAGATCAATTTTGTGTCCTTTCCGTGTGAAGAGACCCGTAGTCCAGTAGTTACATTGTGGGGTAATATCCAGGTTTAAACCCGAACAGGGATCTTGATGTGTGTGTTCTTTGTGCAAAAACGGTTGATACCTAGGTTGAAAGCGAGTGTAGTAGAGGTCAGATCATTTTTGTTATCATTTAGTGCAAGGGAGTGCCGGTGCTCAATGGTTGGTGTGTGTCAGCAGCATATGGGGGTGTGTAGGCTGAAACCCCAGTAAGTTCTGGTGCTAAGAAACTTTTTACAGTTGCCTCTGTCCATCCAGGAATACCCGTGGACAACATTGCTTCAATCGGGAAGTGCCGTATTAACCTAGTCTCCTGGCCTGATGAAAAGGGATTAAATCATACAGGACACTTTGAGACAGTTGTATTTAAAGTGCTATAGAGGAAGCACATCGTAAAAAATATTGTTAGGAATTAACACCAACATCTTTCCTTGCAAACCTTTGGAAACTCAAAAGAGTTTTTTGTGGGGTCTAGTTGAAATGGAGTTTGTTCATTTCAAATCTTACAAATTTAGCATCTTTTCTCCTTTTTTTTTTAATGTTTGGAGTGAAATTCAAAGATTGGGGATAATTTTTTAATTGTTTCCAGAATCGCTGGTCTCTGACAGACAGTAACAGTTGCATCTCAGTAACCACAACATTCAAAGTGGACAGTTTCACGACTTCAAAGTCCCCTGTGGAATGACCCATGCTGCATTGTAAAGTCCAGGCAATTCTTTTTCAAATTCTTAATTACCACTGCAAAGATTGCCATTTGGAATGTACTGTGATTGTGTCCGGCTGCCTTACTGAAATGGTCTAGCGTTTTAGCTCCTGACAAGTTGCATTTCTGAAACCCATTTTCTGCTCAACCATACTGAAAGTTTTCAGCCAGTCACATCCTAGGGTGGTGCGGCTGTCAGTTCTGCCAATACGACAGAGACAGTAGAGGTTGTTGAACAGAAACGGGCTCCTGGCACGTTTTCCCAGGGTACACTTATATACTCATGATTACTCAATTCCTGTAGTGACCCAGGCACATTGAGGCCACTTCTCGCCCTGAGCAGACCTTTTCAGTTTCATGTTCAAGGACTGAGTTTGATTCACAAAGCTAGATTCCAGGAAAATAGGGTGTTCTTGGTGCCTAGTGAGGTAACGTCAGCGCAATAAGCTTGGCCCAGAATTTAAATTCATATAGTTGCAGCAGTCTCAAGTGAGTTTGAATGGGAATGAAACATTCTAAATCAATTCTACATTTGCCAGGTGTCGTCGATATTCCAACTCTTGGCTTTTTGAAAAATTTTCAACTCTTCAATTTGGTCCTTGTTACAAATTATTCTCCCAGATAAGACGTGGTAATATCAAATTCCTGCCACTTAAAACTTCTTTAGTTTCCTGCGTCTACATTTACTGGTGCATGTGTACTATGTCAATTAGAATGGGGAGGGGGGGAAGAATCTCACTGTGAGGTAAAGCAACAATGAATGCAGTCGTAGAAGCCATTACTTTCTCAATAGCACAACGGAAGTTTTCATCCACACAACCCCAGAAGTCAGTTCCAAAAGCCCTGAGCTTTCAAAACTGAAAGAAGATATGGCTGCCCTTTGACGTGTACACAATTTACTCAGACTGAGCATACGTGCATCAAGGAAAAGTGCAGCCTTCATGACCACAGTGCCCTTTCCCTTCTTGTTTGTCTGTTCATGAGGTTGAGATTACACAACCCATTGTAACCTGCTACAAACATTTTTATTCTTTATGCTCATTGCTGAGAATAGTGTAATTATACCAGAAGTACTGTATACTACTTATTTTGCTTTGACTTGTGCTCACTGTAGATTGTTGAAGATAGCCCATGGGACCAAAGTACATCTAGCAGTAACCATTTCCTTTCATTTTTCCATCACTAGAAGGCATGGTTACAAGTTTGTATTATCAGAAAGAGCGATAGTTTTCACATGAAATTTGTCAAAGTCTGTTGGCATGGATACACTTTGTGTTGTTTCTAAGCACTTCTCAGGGAATGAGTTTCACAATTTTGATGCAGTAGGCTGCGGATTTTCAAAATATGATCTGAAAGTTCTGAAATTAGTTTACCCTGAAGGTGCAGGAACCCTCTTAGGTGTACGGAAATCATTGTCCTTTTTTTTCTCCCTCAGACGACGGGGACAGTTTCACCTCCTACCACACCCCGACCGTCACGCCGCGCGCCAGCATCTGCAATGACTCCAGCTATGGTATCTTAGCCGGTAACCTGCCTGCTCTAGAGCTGATGGCGCTGTACACGGCCGCGGCCATGCATGACTATGACCACCCAGGACGAACCAATGCCTTCCTGGTGGCAACAAGTGCTCCACAGGTATGTTTTACCCATTTTTTGATGTAACAACTTGAATTGGTTTACCACTTTTGGATGGTACTATATTCCAACACAAACTTGTCCAAGCCAAAACTCTTCACTTCTCAAACTGACGAGGTATCTCAGCTGACCGAAATTTCTCAATGACGAGGTACCACTGTCGGATGGAGTCACTTATGAAATGGGACTCCTCAAATATCAACCCATGGTGGTCATTTGTTCAAGATTATTTGACTTTCCTTATTCATCTTTGCTTGTTTTGAAACTCTGAGACAGTGTTGCTGAGCATGACATGCTAATATGCTACGCCATGACACACAGCTGTGTGAGGGCTCCAAAAACACTCCGCAGAACTTCCACTGAGCCTCTCTCTGTGTTCACAGTAGGAACCATTTAGATGTGGGGATGAGTGTAAGAAGTCATCTGCTACTGCCTATAGAATTTTTCTCTAGCACAGGAAATCCCTGTTTATTTCCACGTCATTGGGTGTCAAGCAGTTAGGATGGAAATTGATCTGTGTACATGTGCATGTAATTAATTATTAAGTATGATATTTTTGGCATATTACATGGCGTAAGGAGGGGAGAGCTTGTCTCCTGCGGCATGCTCATGGTATTACACCAGTGTCATTGGCAAGTCCTCGCAAGTCATCCAAGTGAAGTCACGAGGTGTTTCAAATGGGCAGAGTTCCTTTGTCACTGTTCATCCCATCTGACTTGCAAGTAGACTTGTTATGGACAAGACTTCAACAACATTGTAAACCCTGGATAAAAAAAAAACAACAAGAAAATTACATATGAGGACAAACGTCCCAGGATCCCCAAGAATTTCAGAAGATAGACAACAGTCAGATGAGAGGAGTTGAAATTTTTTTGTAGTAAGGACAATGGTTAGTCCTCAGTGGGTAACATACATAACCTGCATGTGTGAGGAGAGATGCTTCACTCGCCTACAAGTGTGAAATAGATCATATACGTTAGGCTTTGAAAGTAAGGATTAAAACAGACATGCCAATTCTCTCTGGCTTGCAGCCAGACTCCCCTCCACTGAAAACTAGAAATATTATTTTCATCCTATTTATCCCATTGTTTTCCTCCTAGTTTTGCTTCTATTCAGTCTGATTTTTGCTTTTCAAATCTCCATCCCATTGAGATTTGACAAGCTTCACCTCATCTACTTGATTATGATAGTGAGTTCTTTGGCTCTAATCCCTGAGGGTGAATGTAAAATCATATTGAAATTGGAGGACTGTTAGGGTTAGTGTAGGGGTGTGTTATTGTGGCCGCTAACCAGAAACACGTGTATGCCATCAAAGCAACAGCCCTGAACATGTTTAGGGTAGCCTGTCAAAACTCAGACCCAGAAAGATTTACTTATCCCTGAGAGGCAAAGTGCATGGTAGCAGACAATTTCGCTCACAGATGTCTTTTTCCCTCAATTATTCGGCAAGTTCCTTACCCCTGCTGCTTGCTCTTTTTCACATTTTAGAAGGAAGTACCCATTTTTGTTCGCGACATGCTACAACAGAATTGGGAATACATAATTTACTTATTTGAAAGAGGACAAACAATTGTGTTCTTGAATATTGTCTGCCATTTTGGGCCAGTGGTGAACCAACTCCAACCTTCAGTTCTCATTTGGTTGGAACAGTGATGTCACAGAGGCCCACCAGAGTGGCCAAATGCAAAAATAATAACCAAGCTGAAACATGATCATGGTTTCGGTCACCAAAGCACACACCAGCTTAAAGACCATTAATGTATTTGATGATGTACGTGAACATGCATAAATTATCAAGCCAAGCAGTCACAAAGCTAATGGCCTCATCTTGAGTGCAGAAGGTGGTGATTAGTTCCTCACACTAAAAAGGAAAGTCTTATATGGAGTACCCATTTAAATGAAATGAGATGGAGTCATTCACCAGCTTTTACCATTGGCTGACTGCTACTGCAATCTTGAAAGGAACTGTTTTGCAAGCAGTATTGCATAATGTGTTGCTTTTGCTAGATGTCTTCAACAAAATCAGATGTAGCGTGTTTTTAAGAAATCTGGGTAGAGTTGTGATGTACGAACAGATGTTACAGTATTTGCATTGTTACGTCTTTACTTGCCTTTTAGAACAATGAAAAGGAAACATCTATTTAACCCCTTGACGACGGGAATTTCTTTCCGAAAGCTGACTCCAAGAATTCCAGCCTCGCTTGGCCACGAAGGCCACCTGCCAAACCGCAAATTCTCGGTTTGTGGCCCATGCTTGCTCTGCGTGAAAAGGCTGATTGTTCGGTGGCATGCAGCTCTACTCACGCTTCCACATTCCCATTGCCTCATATCAAAGTGGGGACTATTGTGAAGCTGGTGATTATGATGCAAATTCAGTCTTTTCATTTCTGGGCTACACATAAAGGCCAATCACCATATATACAAGAGCCAGGTTCTGCCTTCTTACACCGTGTTTGCTCGAGCGTGGGCCGAGAATAATAGCTGAAAAGTGGACTGAGGATCTCAATTTTTACGGCAGCTGTAGCCGCGTCCCGGCGCAAAGAGGTTAAGTCTCTGTACTGTATACAATATTTACACACGTAGTTGCATTCTTATAAAGTGTGTTCATCCAAACCCCCGATTATAGAAAAGATAAAGTTTGAAGGTACAGATCAAACTCAAAATTGTTACTAAAAAAAAAGGCTACTAAAAACTCACAAAAACATCAAGCACAAACAACATGAAATGAAGCGTAAACATTTCAACAACTCTCCCACAAAACTTGGAATACTATAAAAGACACCTCCACAAGACTGTATGAATCTCCCATGAAGCTCAGAAAAAGCCAGAAGAAGCACAACAATCCCACAGAATTTGTACACATTACATGTAGAATGAGTTGTGTTTTGGTGAAATGTTGACATATATCCTCATGCATGTCTGAAGTCAATTCAAATTGATGGGATAAAAATGTGCATAGAAAGAACAAACCTCCACACCTCGTTCCACATCGGGTAAACTTGTAAAATGTCTAAAACGTACCCATAATCAAGCTTTGAATACTTTAACCCAAAAAGTACTGGGCATTGTTTGGCTTTGAGTACTCAGTACTATAAAATACTATGTAACACTCTGAGCCTGAAGGACCTAGCGCTACAGATTACTATTTCTGGCTAGGTTTATTCCGTTGTTACTCGTACAGAGAACAATGAAACCAGGCATTCATAGTGCCACAGCACTGTATGGTACATTGTCTTCTCTATTGTATCTTAGGCCTCAGAGAATAATGATGTCATGTCCTCCTACAAGGGACAGGGCTGAGTACTACATTTTACTACTGAGTAATACTTTGTAGCATTCGGGACTGTTAGGGTTAAAAGAATTCTTCACAACACTGCAGTCTTCTACAAGACTGTTTTGAGTCCCCTCCTGTGTTGTTTATGCAAAACTTCCATGCCAGTATGGGAGACAAAGAATGCTGATCCAAGCGCATGATTCCAGTTTGAAGGTACATAGAATTCAGCCGCAATATTACCAAGGAAAGGCTCTTCTTTTCTATGCAGTGGCAGATCGGGGGGGGACAGTGGGGACCGTGGTCTGATTCTCCCTCCTCCCAAAAAGTAGCCTCCGTGTTTTTTTTTTAAATAGAGAAAGGTGATTTTTTGGTCTGTTTCATTTCCCTTCCTTTTAAAAAGTCATAAAAGCCCGCAAATGTTGAGTCACCCCTTTGAAACACCATGAAAGGTTACATGAAAAAAATTTCAATTTTTTTGGCTCCATCAGAAAAACATTTAGCATGCCCCCCCCAAAAAAATCTGGTTCTGGATCCGTCTTTGTTTGTGTGCGATTTTTTTTGTCTGCTCATTCCTCAGATTCAACTAACCAGTTACGAAGACTGAGCTGTTTCAAACATTGCCCCTCACATGTGGAACGCACTTCTGACTATATCAGACAGGAACATGACATCACTCACTTTCAACAGCACATCAGAATGTACTTGTTCTCACGAAAGCACACAACTGAGGTTTCCGTGTCTTCCATCCGGACCGGAGTTTTGGAATACTTTCAGAAATAGTGTGCCCTATAAAGGTTGTTAATCATTATTTAAATTTTGTTTTTCATAATCGGCTGCTGGTGTTATGAAACTGTAAATTTTTTATCCTCTCTCCACCTCCCCCCTCCCCATCAAACCCCCAGGCTATTCTCTACAATGATCGCTCCGTCTTGGAGAACCATCACGCAGCCGCCTCCTGGAGCCTCCTCATCTCCAAGCCAGAGTTCAACTTCCTGTCGTGTCTGGATGACGCCGAGTTCCGTCGCTTCAGGTTCTTGGTGGTGGAGTTCATCCTGGCCACTGATCTCAAGAGGCATTTTGACTTCCTCGTCGAGTTTAATGCCAAGGTAATAACAAAATTGTCATTTGAGATTTTGGTTTGTTTATTTCAAATTCGTGTTTTTCTGCGTTAGGCCAGGGGGCATGCGTAGAGAGAAATACATGGGGTCTTCTTGAAACTCTACAACTGGATGTGTTTAATGCTGCAAAATTGGCCTGTTGCCATATTTTCATACCGGCAGGAATGCAGTCTTTCAGAATATTGAAGAAAGGAAGAAATGGAAATCAAAATGTGCACATGTATGTGCACCTTGATCATAAGTTCAAAGGGGAGATTTCTCAGAATGTAGTGCTGTTAAAGATAAATCACATTAGTTATCTCATTTTATGAAATGTAGTTGTATGTAAAACAAGCTATTATGTAAAAAGTAAACAGAGATGACTGCTGACGTCAAAATCAGAAGTTAAGTCCTTCATATCAGGCAATCTGAAAACAAAGGTCGTAGGGAGCATGCAGTAAAAGCCTGTTTTGATGACGTCACACTACGACTCTGTAATTATGAGACTGTTTCATTAGTTTGAGGCAAACGCGCCCGCGTGCGTGAGCGCTGTGATTGTTCACACTTAATTGTGAATTAAAAGAAGTCGGACAGTGAGAGTGACTTGGAATTGCTTTTCCATCGACAGTGTTGATCAACGTTGGATCGTATGACAAAGTCGAACCGTCCCAATTTGAACCGGAGTAAGGTCCTGATGAATTTCAGGCAGATGGCCGTGGTCATTCTCTGTTCTTGTGCTATGAAGCGTATATTATGGCTGCAAGGTCAAACAATTCTGGGGAACAAGAGCCGTATTATGACATCAAATCGCTAGATTTTTTCCGCCCTCATCAATGCAATTTTTTACTCAGAGCATTCTCGGAGTGGAACTGAACTCCCCAAAATGACATTTTTTAATAATTGTGAAGAGAAGCTTCCATGTTAGTCATGAAATGGGTAATAGTGATCAATTCCGTGTTAAATTACCTGCAATGTGATTGATCTTTAATAACAACACTTGGGTTGAAATTATTTGACCTAATTTAACTTGTGATCTTGAAATTTCTCCAATGAGTGTTGAATACTTTCAGGTCAACGATGTAGATGCGTCCGGCATCAATTGGGCATCGGAGGGTGACCGCTTGTTGGTCAGTCAGATGTGTATCAAGCTGGCGGACATTGCAGGGCCGACCAAGACTTTTGACCTCCACTACTGCTGGACAATGGGCATATCAGAGGAGTTCTATGAACAGGTAGTGAGACGTATGCACATGTACATGTATTTGTCAATTGAGAGTTGCCCTGGGAAAGTTTAACTTGGTTGATGGACAGCTGGACTTGTCTAGTCACTCTTTGGAACCAGACCTATTACAGTTGCATTGCAGGCTATTGGTGTTACTGCTGGCATTTTTTGATAATTGGACTATTGTACATGCTCAAACGTGCTGTTTTACTGGTATAATTTGCCAATTTCGTCATTCCCAGCAAGGGTGTCTGTCAGATTTTCTGAAGGTTATAATTTACTCTTGCAGGAGTTGCAGCTACTTAGAAATGGGGCTTTGCTAATGGCTATGTTGTCCGATATTCATAAATTTGTGCTCAAAGTGGCAATTTTTTACCAACAAGTAGGCTTCCCGTCTCCGAAATATATCAATATGACACAATAAGCAATTTGACACTAGCCAGCCCATTTACTTTTCCATCCCTCTAGTATTAACTTGTGAGAAAACTCCCCCAAGGGTGCAATATTTCGGAAGAGTCAAAGCTGAATTAATGCTACTTAGTCTGACTATAACGTGTCTCATGCTTGATGCATGATGCACTTGGAAAGGGTTATACTGTTGAGAGGAATGACAATTTCCGGTGTACTATGATCTTCTGTCCCCTACCAAATTTGGTCCGTTTTAATTGGGTCTGCGCGTGTCAATAGTCAAGTTCTTATTGTTCAGTGTACTGAGACTTGTAGCCTGCAGTCATTGAGTCCCTACTGTACATGTACATGTATATAGTTCATGTGTACTTGAGGCACCGACTCAGGGAAGAGAGATTGCACTCCATCTAGAAAAAAGAGCCTGTGGAAAGCAAAACTTCAGTTTGAATTGAGTTCAGCAAGTCTGCTGACACATTCACGTGCAAGGCTTTTCAGTGCCAAATTTGTGTTGTCGGCATGAGTTGAATGTACCTCTGTTTTCAACACCACAGAGAGAAAATTAACATGCACACACACACCTATAACAACATCTGATAGATTACAGCTTCTGACATTGTTCTGCTACTTTGAGTGCCGCAAGCAGTGTAATTTTTTTCCCTTTGGTGAGGATTTTAAGACCTTTCAGAGAGACCATGAAAATCATGAGGATTGGGCTGGGGCTGACTTAAGAGGGATGGATGACATATTTTTGGTTCATTCATTCACTTTTGTGTACTCCTAGGGTGACGATGAGAGGAAACTGGGTCTGCCAGTTTCCCCCTACATGGACCGGGAGGCACCCCAGCTGGCCAAACTCCAGGAGGGTTTCATCAACCACCTTGTGGCCCCGCTCTGCAATGCCTACGGCTCTGCTGGCCTGCTGCCGGGCAGGTGGCTGGACGGGGAAGAAAATGAAGGTATTTTAATTGGGCGTTTATGCTCAGTATCGTCTGGAGGTTTATGAAAAAATTCGCAAGCTTATCTGGGTGGAACTTGAACCCACAACCTCCTTGCTTTTGCAGACGTCTTTACTACTCGATCACTGAGCTTGCTGAGGTTGCCTGGCTATTTTAAGTGTAATGAGCAGCAGATACTGCACCAGATATGTTTATGAGATGTGAGTTTTTTGACAGGGAAAAGTAACTTTTAATTTTGTTCCCCCTTCACCGTTTTTAACCCTAACCCCCTTGAGTGTATGTAAAATCATATTGAAATAGGAAGAGTGTATGCATTGCCACACTGCAGTCTGATCCAGTCCTTACATTCACTGTTCAGAGCGGTATGTCATGCTAGGCTTCCCCTTGGTCCTACTGAGACTGCATTCAGTGTTACGTGTGTGTGTGAGATCTGTCCATTCTAATGAGACTGTGAGCCAGTCATCACACCAAGGGGACAATGCAGAGTACCAGTGTGGTGTTTTTGGTGTCACAGGTCAAAATACATTTCCAGTTAATTTTTTCTTCCCCTTTTTCACTCAAAATGTGTTTTTTTCTTTGATTGGCAGATGAGAAATCGGAGGCCGGTGAAGAGACAGCTGTCCCTCTGCCACAGCAAGAGATCAAGGAAGAGGGTGATGATATAGAGGAGGAAGATACATCAAGCGAAGGGGGACCAAGTACGTATGAAGGCGGACATGAAAGCACCGTGTAGATTGCACCAGAAATTCATGAGATTATTTTCAGGGTTATGAAGTAGACCTCTTTCTTTCTACCTCACCGTCATACTTCTAGCCAACAAGTGGCTGGTAAACCGTGGTAGGCTATTCATGCAAAAGAATACTAATTCAAAAAGTAATTCATCTCACAAAGCTGAAAAAAACACCGGCTAGTAAATATCATTGCAAAACAGTAAATGAAAATATCTCTTTAAAAATACGATAGAAAATGTAACATCTGTGACCGTATAGTTGCCAGGTCCCTTGTTTTGCCACTTACTGTGAAAACCAATCAGACTTGACAGTTGGTGGTGAGATTAGGGACCTGGTGACTATATGGACACAGACATTAGATTTCAAAGTAAAAGCTGACATTGACCAAGAGTAGTATTTCTGCAAATACTAGCCACCAATCTGAATAGCAGGTATATTAATGTGAGAGAGGCCTGTGCTTAGCAGGGTGTCAGGTTCCCTTTCATTCCTTTTGCATTTTGATCTGCCCAGCTCGCAGTATTAATTCTTGTGTAGTTCCGAGGACTTAAGTGATGTAAATAGGACTTGAGGCTATGCATGGCGAAAGTACTAACTATGTGAAGTTTGCGGTGACACCATGTAATCAAATACTCTCTTTGAGTGTGTGTGGTTCTGAAAAGAACCGGGGTTCACTCCGGTTAAGTGATGTACATATTCAGTTGTCAGTCAGACAGATGCACTTCCTGCTAATGCAGAGCAGTTAGTAGTCTGCCGAGCACAACAGTCAGGGATTTGAATGAAAAAAGCAAAGTCACACTGGGCCCTGTTTTGGGTGGAGCCTGTGGCGGTTTTTCAGAAACCAGGGAGGAAGTCAAAGCTACGTACATGTAGGATACTGAGGTTTGGGAAATGGCCCCTGACAAGAATGCTGCTTTGTTACTGTAGTCATGTTGTGAATGTGAACTATTGCAGTGGAGTCCAAGCTGCGACTGAAGAGCGGCAAGACCAAACAGCGCAAGATGGCCAGCATCCTGACCAAGCACCTCAAGGAGAATCATGACCACTGGATCAAGGTGCTGAAGGAGGAGGAGGACGCCAAGAGGCGGGAAGAGAAGAAGGAAGGCAAGGAGGAGGGCAGCGGGGGCGGCATGGCACCCATCCGGGAGGACTCGGAGGAGCGCAACTCAGATGAGAAGGGCGATGAGGATGAGCCGGAAAGCAGACCATCCCCGGACGTGGTGGAGAGGCTCAAAGAGGCAGCAACTGAACGCAGGAAGAGCCTTGACGACGCCCGGACCTCCAAAGCCAAACAACACAGGGTCAGCTCAGACGAGGAGCAAGACAGATGAGAGTAGGTTTCTAGGGATGGCAGACAGTTGGCCAAGCCCCCAGGAATTCCCCTCTTTTCACTTCTTTTCGTAACATCTTTGATTTTGTGGAATTTTTTTCAATACAGAGGATTTAGAATCCACTCCTACAGTGCTGCAGCCAAAACAGTTCCACAGTCTAAAATTCCACAGTTGGTGCAGGTTGTCCGTCTAATGTGTGCTTTCCAGCCAGAAAAAATGACAGGCATCATGGGATAAGTTGAGGAATGCATTAGTAGACCCATCTCCGGAACTTGTTCCCCAGCAAAGTTGTGGTGAACTGTCAAGAAAAGAAGAGGGCAGCATAGTAGTTGGCTCAGACCCTGTATTATGGGACCATTGTGCCTCATGGTCTCATTTTTGGGGCAGATTGCTTTCTCAAAGTAAAAGCTTTGCGTATCTCAGCCCCTACCTGAAATTGAAAGGTCTTTCGCCTGATCTTTTGCTCTAACTTTTTCTTTCTTTCTTTCTTTCTTTTTTTTTTTACTGAAATTTCTCTCATTTTCATTCACAGCTGGGACCTGAAATGTATTGTAGTACCTGTCAGGAGTCCAAGACTTGTATAGAAATATATGAATAATGTAACCATTCTTAAGAGAAGTGGTAGACATGGAAACTTGCACTGAATGAATGCAAACCTTTATTGTATGGGCTAAATACATGATATTGTACAAAGTTTTTATTAAAAAAAAGGTTGTCACACAGTTATTGTTAACCAAGAACCGGGATTTAGTCAACGCCTTGGTGCTGGTGCGAATATGTGATATTAAAACGCAGTTGAAAGTTTTAACTAGCGCTTAGCAGATTAAACCTGAACTAGGTAGTTAGTTTAGTTCTTGTGAAGTGAACTTGCGCGCAATAAGATAGTGTGATGTTGAGATGACGATTGTCATTGCGTTGAGTGTGAAGACAGTCCACTCTCTGAATTTGTTTTCGCTCGGTAGTGTGCTGGAAACCATGTACCCTTGTGTGCTCATGGATGCAATGTGCCAAGGTGACTCGTGCACATGTAAATCGGGCTACTACGATGTGTATAAAAAAAACTGTGTGTATGTGAACATGTATATATATCTCATAAGTCTAATAAAGCGGAACATTTATTACCATTATTTTTTTGATTTGTTTTAACAGAAAGATTGCTGCATATTTTATCGGTGAAGATAGTTTTTATTAAGCAGGCCTTAATTGTTCCAAGTGTATAATGAAATCAGAGAGACCTATGTGCAGCACGAATTCACCACGATTAAATGTTTTAAATTCATAGAAAATGTTTGGAACTGCATGAAAGCAATGTAGTTGAGTTGACATTCTATAAGTAAAAAAATGGATACATATGGGATAAAAATTAACCTAAAATTAGATTTTTTTATTTAGTGAAGAAAATCTACCTAAATATATAGTTATATATATAGCCAATTATATGAAATATATCCAAGAAATTTCAAGGTTTTGAAAATTTCATCGTAATTGTTTCTTTTCTCAGCAGCTTTGTCTTTTGTATTTGCTTATAAATCCAGGGTTTAACTCCCAAATAAAAATATTTGCTACAAAGACATAGAATGAAAGTTCAGAAGTTGAAGTTCAGGGACGAAAATAATCACAAGATTGTCAATATCTACGCCATTTATGTTTTCATTGACAAAGACTTGAAAGGTAAACATTGAAATTCATATCTGAATTCACAGTAAATTTGTCACATTTTACTGCATACAAGTAAAATTTACTTTGAAAGTATTACATGGCATTCCCGCAGGTAATTGAAAGGAACAAGTTTGGAAAATCTGAAATCTATGCCTTCTCACATTTCTGTCATTTGCTTCAATGTTCCACAGGTTGAAATTTTAATGAAACTCTCAACTCAAACAGACCAAAAACAAAATGGAAGGAGTTTTACTACCCGGCATAAAGCATGTAACAGTGGACCTGTTTTTATATAGAGGGATCTGCCCCCCCCCCAGTGGGCAGCTCCCTCCCATCAGAAGTAAGCATAACCATAAACATTGTCTACAAGATTGTGGTGTGCCCCCCTGGCTGGTACTGTGGGCTCTTTCCCCCCCCCCATGCGAGAAGCTGACAACAGGGCTTGGAGCATCTGAGCTGATTGATAATGACCCCAAAATGCAGCCAAAACAGTATTGGGATACAGGGTATATGCAAATTTTATGAAAGAGCAAGAGCATGATGGAAGCTGACTATGAAATGTATTTTTATGTTTCTTAGCATCAAAATTAGTTTTCGATATGTGATGTAAAAACTTTTCGTTTGCCAATTTTGTGATGCAGGCTACATTGTCTCTGTACAGAAGAGGGAGATGGGAAAGACCCAACATCAAATTAAACTAAATGGGCTCTGCCAAATGCTTTTGTGAAATAAGTATCCAAACTTTAAACTTTAATTAAAACTGTAACTACAGTTACAATTTCAACAAGGGTTGATTGACTCACTCTCAGTGACTGGAGATCAGTTAAACCGAGTCAGCATAAACTAAGGGAAATGTTGACATACCGTATAAATCGGGCTAAAAGAATCCTAGAGCTTGAAGAAACTGCACATGAATCGTTACATTAACTGAGAACTGTTTGCACCAAACTTCACACATGCCAGATTATGTTTTATCATTTTTTTAATGAAAAATAGAAACAGGAAATTTTAATTGTAGTCTTTCATAAGTGTGGCAATAATTTAGTTGTATGATTTTTTTTTTAAAAAGGACACAAATAAGATTTCAAATCATACTTCATGAATTCCCAATGGTACACTTGTAGCAAAGTAAACCAGGAGAAATTCCAGAAGTGGTGGATAATGTCTTTAATGCAACACACTGGTTCGTTCCAGCTGTGGTTTTGTGAATAGATCTCTTTTAAGGACTTAAGGTTGTTGAAATTGAAGGAGAGTGTACATCGTTAAGATGTCATTAATATTCTATCCATGGAAAAAAATTTGAATGGAAGTGATTCAGAAATGTTGTCTTCATAACTAATTTTCTTGCTTGGAGATTACACAGAAATCTAGAGAACTTTCAAAAAGGGATCATAAAGAAAACATTCTCTCGTAAGTTTAACTTTCAAGCAACCTGTAAAATGGGGAAATCAGATGGTATCTTCCATTCACAAGCCTTGTTTGGTTCTTGCTATTGAATGCAACTATTTACTTCAATTATTAGAAAATTATTTGAAAAGAAATTAGTGCTTTCTTTGCATTCATATCTTCATTTTATATTTCATTTTTCAGTGTTTGATTTTAGAGAAACTGTAATTTCAGAAGTAAAGAAAAATAGTCATATAGTGATACACGTTGTTCATCAGTTGTGTGTTCCCTGCAAGGTAAACCAATATTTATTTACAAGACTGTGGAACGGTTTGCTTTAATAATCTCTTGATAAATATTACGTAAGCCAGCTTACAATATTCTGTTTGCTGAGCATGGTGTCTTGAGCAAAATCGTTGCACGATCTGTTTACAGTAAATTAGTTGAACTAATCAGAGTGTTGAAAATTGTATTATTTAACCAGTTCGGATAAAGGATATATTTTATTGTTTCTTGTATTTTTTTGGTTCGAAAACAAGTTATTTTTTCTCATGTAACCTGCAGGACAGCTTTTAATGCTAATATGTTTCCTATATTTCTCTCTCAGTGGTAATAATTCAACAAAGAGTGCATGTCCTTAATATGGAAAGAGGTTTATCTTTAGTAAAAGAATATACATGAGAGGTTTCCTCAGAGCCTAAACAAATTTACACGCTTATATACACAACATAAACCAGTGTTTAATTGTTTGGTGCAATTATACTGTGAAAAAAAACTCAAAAAAGCACAATCCCTTAATTGAACCAACCAAATACAAAATCTTTGTGTTCATTTACGAAAAGAAAAAAAATGATGAACAAGTGCCCAATCAGGTGAACATTCAAAGTCATCCTTGAGTGACTGGTTGAATGAAGTTCGCTAGCAGGGACTTCATACCATAAAGTATTCAATGTAACAACATGTACCAGCTGTTGTGCCATGTTCTGTTCTCAATTCAAACATATAAAGCCTTTATATTTTACTATATATTTATTAAGTTGTACATAGGCACAACAGTTGGGGTTTCTGCAAAGTTAATGAGGCTGTAAGCTTCCTTAGATGCCAAATTTAGTTTTATGATTTGCAGTATGTTGGTCTTGAATGATGAAAGAGGCCTCTGTTTTCTGTTCCATTGAGTTGAAGTATGGAGTAGGTTAGACACAAATGTTAAATAGCTCCCATTGAAAAGCACTTGAATTCATCCCATACACAGTGAATTGAGGACCATTGAAATCTATGCTGCTTTGTGATCCCTCCTACAGTTTTTGAGATGGGAAGATTATGACCACGTAGACCCTTGCCAGAGCTTTATTTGGAGCATATCTTTTAGTAAAGCGTGCACAACGATCAGAAAGGCTGGGCATGGTCAACTGAAGTATATTTGCACTTTTAGAAAGTAATAAAGTTGAAGTCCATTAATGGTGGTCTAAATGTTTCCCTGAGCTGTTGTTCCAATTCCACTTGGTGGTATTCAGCCATTGGTATTGGTTGATACGCATGAATGTACGTTGTACCCAAGTAAAACTGTAGTGTGGATAATTTTTTCACTCTGGTTGAAATTGCTTTCTTTTCAAGAAAGGTGTTTCATGAAGAGAAGTTGTGCTGTGCTCATTTTTTGGCAAGAATTTGGCTTTGAAGTGGCATAAAAGTCAAAGGTCAGTGTTACACAAAGCCAGTCTGTTGACAAGGGAAGTGGAAAATCATCCCCCCCCCCCATCGAGAGTCATGAGGCTGTGTTTTCCAAGCCAACTGTCCACATAATCTGCCTCCATGCTGGAGTTCTCCTCGAGATACCTCCGTTATTTCTCCAACATTTTGGGGCAGTTTTTTCTTCACAGTAAACTGCTGGACATCACTGTTCTAGACTGTTGGGTGGTGTGCCGCCTCTGGCTGTTGTGCGGGCAAATTGTACAATTATGATATACTGTATAAATAACCAAGTGGTTTTCTTGGTTTATAAATAACCAAGTGGTTTTCTTGGTTTATAAATAACCAAGTGGTTTTCTTGGTTTATAAACAACCAAGTGGTTTTCTTGGATATTAGTTCAGCTGTCTGAATTGTTTTGATTCCAGACAATGGACACCGCCTGCCAATTATCCTGTAGTGTCCCATTATGTGCAGTAATGGTTCTTTCCAGCAAATTTATCCCCATGGTTACAACAAGGTATTAGGCGGTATTATACTGTAGTGGTGCAAAAGTGTACATAGTCCTAAATCTTGAAGAAACGTTATAGTGGATATCAATTTAACCACCACATGCACACAATTTTTACAATGTAAAAACCTACTTGTTGTTTGTATATTATCCTGTAAATTTCCTCCTTAGGCTATGGTTCATCAGTGACTGTGAGAAACATATTGTATAACGTTTACAGAGGAACATTTCCCCTCCATTTTCATCAGGGGACAGCAGTGAACTACAGCATCTTGTTGACAGTTAAAAAAAAGAAGTAACACTGTGTATGGTACACGATCATCATTTTATGTGATTGGTATATGTGCTTTAGTTTTCAACATCAAACCCACTTTGGTTTCATTTGCATGACTGTGTGCTCAATATGATACAACAACCAATAATAAAAACTGAGGCAACAGAACAGAATCTGTGATGTCATTTAATATAAGTTTCTGAAGAGGCACTCGTACAGTGGTGGCGGAATGGGGGGGGGGAGTATCCCCACTGTTTTGACTCGAGTGTAATGCCTCCCCCCCACTTCTAGCAGGTCCTTTAATAGCTGTGATGCCTGGTGGTCTCATAATAATCCCTGCCCCCATTTGAAATCATTCCACTGCCGTTGCACTTGGATCTTTCTGGCATTTTCTGCCCATAAATTGCATGATTTGCCTAGTTGACTTCAGTGCTGAGCCATCTTTAATCAAAATGCATGTTAACCATCTTAGAAATAGATGGCTAAATTTAGCAATTTCCGGAGCATCTGCTAGAGCCACGCCCCTATCCTTTTCGCAAACGGCAACCTCATCCCCAGCACCCACTGCATTTCCAAGGAATGAAGTGGGCACGTACTGCTTGTCACCCTGGGAAAGAGCTTGACCCCCAACGTGCAGCATGGCGTCAGGCAGTGGTGGCGGGAAATGTATCTGAAGTTTGGACGGAAATGTTCGTGGCATTGAACAAGCGTTGAATGTCTGGGTATACAAGACTGGATCCACCAAGCAAGGTAGGTAAAAGAAATGATTGGGGAAAGAGTTCCATGAATGGACAAACACTCCATGCCCATGGGCACAAATGTAACCTAGCCTATTTATCACGTAGGCCTATGCCCGACCCGTGAACAGGCCCAACGAACACTCCTCCGTCTTAAACTGGGCCCTGTCCCGATTAATAGGGATTTCTTTAGAAAACTTTATCCGGGGGCATAACTAAACATCCGCTGAATTTTATGAGCTGAAATTGCACCGGTATGTTCACTACTTACGCTGTAAAAAAATCCACTAGGTTGCTAATTTTAGAAAACTCGCTTTTTCATCGTTAGGAGGAAAAATGTTTCCTTTTTTGCCGTTTTCCAACTCTGTATGGCCATGAAGAACTTAGAACAAGAAGTAAACGTTAAAAATTCGTTTCTTCAACAAGGTAAATCAAGAACAAATTAGAACCACAAGTCTTAGACCCTGGACGTCAGTCGAAATGAAATGAATACAACGTCCAACCTGGGCTGCATGGACATGTAGTATTACGTGGCTAACGTGGCGCACTTTCATTTTTCGCTTCTTGAGTCTTAATTAACAGAGCAGTATTTTTAACTCAAATCTCACAATAGTCAAACTTCATTAAGCTCCTCATATTCTGATTTATAAATTCGACTTTACGTACCTACTGTCAAGTTTGGAATTTTATTTTCGTCCGATTTTCCGTTTTTTTCCGACTTGTGAAGTGAACTCTTAAAGCCTAAATATGCTCAAAAAATAAAAGAACTTCTAACTTGTTGATGGCTATTTGAGTGGAAGTAAGGATGCTTTACTAGAATTTATTAACTTCACATGATTTTGTAAATGTTCATGCGGGATTTTTCTGAGATTTCTTTGAAGTTCACCAAATAAGGAAACATCGACCCCAATGAATTAGAGCCCAATTTCCGGACGCCGACAGTTTTGGATTTCAAACAAAATTTCATGACACCTAAGTCGTTTAAAAAGGTTGAAAATCATGTAACGAGTTTTAACTTTTTCAAGAAAGAAGTTTGTCAAAATGTCAGTTTGACGTCACAGTACACCATGTTAGTGTTTTCTAAGTAGGTTTCAGAATTTTTTTACCTAAATATCGCTTTTTCTTCCTGACGGCTGTTATAAACATTTTAAGGAAAATGAGTGTTGTCTGTATCGATTGGTGTTAAAACTTCAACGGGAATTCTCACGGTGGGGATGACATCACTGAGTCTTGGTTGGTGGCTGTTCCTTTTTCACATTTGGAACTCAAGGGGCAAAAACAGTGTTGTCTATGAGGAAAATCTGAATTAGTGACCAAACTCTTCACCTTTACATCAGATATGCCTGAAATTTCACTGTCTATACACTATGAATATCTCCCACACTCTACCGAAAAGGTTTCAGTTATTTTTATCACGTTGCAGCAAAGAATGCGGAAAACAAATCTCTGTACAAAGTGAAAGGAGGTTTGCCCCTCTGCCCAGATGTGAATGTGATAAATGCAACAACTTCCGACTGCCAGAATGAAATTCAGGAAAATGTTCTTGCATTCCCGTCTGGAAATTAGGCACCGAATTTGAACAGTGCTCTGTAAGTAATGACAGGAACGTGGTTGCACACTTGAACGACGTGCCAAAAGGTTTAAAGTGCACATCATGTTTAGTTAAGACTTCTTTAACCAGTTAAGTGTCTGGTTTTCTTCCCCAATTTCAAAAGCTGCTGGTGGCGGAGGTTTTTTTGCGAATTATTTCTGGTGCCCATAAAATAGGCCTGTATGTAAGCAGACGTTTTGCATAGTGTATGGTGGTTCACTTACTGGTAAATGTTTACTCCACTGTGCTTGTTTTTTTCTGCTCGTTTCACTAAAAACCTGGAATTCAAAAGTACAGAGTACTTTCTGTTGTATTTTGCCTCCATTTGATCTTGATGTACAGAAAAAGCAGCAAAAAGCACCTTTTCAAATCCCCATCAAAACATCATGACCGCTACCATTCTTTAGATCTTTAATAGGGGGCAACTTTCACATTGTGATACAATAACACACTTAAGAGAAGCAGAATATCCCCGAAGTTATTACTTTGAAAAAAAGAAAGAAAAATGTTAACCCTGGGAGAAACCTCAAGGGTTAATGAGTCGGGCATGGCTATAGCATTTTAAACATTTGAATAGGAAAACATAGTGCCTGTGTGCATGCCTTGTGCATCTTGAAGGTGCTTATTTCTTTCCTTCTTTTACCAAATCTGGACAAACTTTTCCTCTTTAACACAAACGTTCTATTTTCTGGGCTCATTTTGTTGTAGATATAACTCCTTCGGAGGGGGATCCTGGGTGGAAATGGGGGGGCACTGTCAATTTGGCCTCACGAAATACCGGTAGGACACGTTGAGGGGCACCGTAGCTAATAACAGGGACAAAAGGCCAAATATTTCATAGGAAAGGCACTGAGGCCAAGGTGTACATGTAAAATTTTCTGCAAAATAAGTTATGAAACTGGAAAAAAAATAGTGTTTTATGTGCTTGATAATGAGCTATCATATTTAAATATTTACAATCCATGACAAAACATCGTATTTTACAGGATGGAACTGGCATATTTTCTGAGAAAGAATTTCTTAATTTAAGAATTCCAGTGAATTTAACCATACATTTAACAAAGAGAACAGGCTTTGTTTCAATTTGACAAATCTTTTTTGACTGCACAGCATGAGCTTACCAACAACATCCCATTGTGGCGTAAATTTGACCAACCCATCACGTCACAGAATAATCAGTTAGAGACATGTAGTTGAGTTTGCTGCGTGCGTGCACTGCACAATCCACAACTAAAGGGACAAACGACCTAGTTGTAGCTGTGGAGTTCCGTTTCGGACATAGCCTGAGCCCGTGCATGCATGTGCCAGCCAAGTTGTTGCACAATATGCCCGTATATGCTTGGCACCTGCAGCGAATAATCATCCACGAACGTTGGGCTGCAGAATGAAATACACGTACGTACATGTATTGTAAGTCGAAGCCAATTGCAGTACAGGCAAGCATCGTGGGGTCAGCTTTTAAGTCTGACGCCTCACAGGTCCAACGCCTCGTAAGTCAAAAAAGTCCGTTAGAAAGTCCATAAGTCTGTCTGACAATTCTTTATTACTTTATATCAGTCTACAGATGCAATGCCCCATTAGTCAAATGCTTTGTAAGTCCGAAAATTCAGACTTTTGAGGCATCAGACTTACGAGGCGTTGGACTTACCGTACGCACCCAGCCTCGTCACGCTCTACGGTGCTGCGGCGCATTGCGCCAGGGTCGACCAGCTTGGCTGGCTAGGCAATATGTACACCCATGTGGCATGAAGACGATCGTAGACCGCAACACGCAATACTTTCACAAGAACGCGAAGTAAGAAACTTATGAGAAACAAGGGACACCACTGCCACGAAGAATGAGACACATGGCCAGTTATGGCCACGGACAAAGTGGAACTTTTTAGGGCACCATTCCCCTTTGTAAGGGCATCGGCCGCCATGGCCACAGCAGGTGTAGTGAAATTCGAGTTCGGGCATTACATGTATGTCATGTCCCTATACTTACACACATCAATCATCCAGTAATCTCTTACCTGAATGAGATGTAAGTTCATTACACAGCTTCCAGGAGCGTGTAACGGTTGGGCCAAACATTGAAGTGTGCCATTGCACTGAAGACGTAAACGTACTGGTTGAGCTTACAAAATAAGTAGGATGCTACGGGGGAGAACTGCAAACTAAAATTGATGAAGAATTCAAGGGAAAAATTGCAGGGAACTTACTGGAACTTACTTAGTAAGTACTGTACCCATCAGACACCG